TAAGGGCCAAGAAGCGACAGTTAGAACCGGATACGGAACAACTGATTGGTTCAGCATAGGAAAAGGAGTACGACAAGGATGTATACTGTCACCTTGCTTATTTAATATATATGCAGAGTACATCATGCGAAATGCTGGCCTGGATGAATCACAAGCGGGAATTAAGATTGCTGGGGAAAAGATCAACAACCTCAGATATGCAGATGATACCACTCTAATGGCTGAAAGTGAAAAGGATCTAAAGAGCCTCTTGCTCAGAGTAAAAGAGGAGAGCGCAAAAGTGGGCTTGAAGCTCAACATCAAAAAAACTAAGATCATGGCATCCGGCCCCATCACTCCTTGGCAAATAGAAGGGGAAGCTGTGGAAGTAGTGACAGACTTCACGTTCCTGGGATCCCAGATCACCGCAGACTGTGACTGCAGCCATGAAATTAAAAGACGCCTGCTCCTTGGGAGGAAAGCGATGGCGAACCTAAATAGCATGATAAAAAGTAGAGACATCACCCTGCCAACAAAAGTCCGCATGGTCAAAGCAATGGTATTCCCAGTAGTCATGTATGGCTGCGAGAGCTGGACTATAAGGAAGGCCGAGCGCCGAAGAATAGATTCTTTTGAACTATGGTGCTGGAGGAGACTCTTGAGAGTCCCTTGGACTGCAAGAAGAACAAATCAGTCAATCCTCAAAGAAATCAACCCTGACTGTTCCCTGGAAGGCCAGATAATGAAACTGAAGCTCAAATACTTTGGCCACCAAATGAGAAGGGAGCACTCACTGGAGAAGACCCTGATGCTTGGAAAGATTGAAGGTCAAAGAAGACGGGGACGGCAAAGGATGAGATGGTTAGACAGTGTCATCGATGCAACGAACATGAAGTTGAGCCAACTTCAGAGGACGGCAGAAGACCGGAAGGCCTGGAGAGAGCTCGTCCATGGGGTCGCGAAGAGTCGGACTCGACTGTGCGACTGAACAACAACAAATAAATCCTTAGGGTATGAACTCAATAGTCTTTTTTGCAGGTTTCTGTTCTCAATGGGATTAACTTTTTCAGTGAGTTTGTGTCTTGAGAGAAAACGTAATAAAAATGTTACACTGATGGCATCTTTCTCCTGTCGGATTAGCTAAAATTTCAAAAGGTCACTGCTGGCATTGTGATATTCCTTGGGTGGACTTCCTCCACATGTGGTAGGGTTGGTTCAGAGCTGTAAAACACTGGGAAATGGTTACAATTATGTTAGGGAAAGAAAAAGACAGACTATAATGTTATTGGCTGTACTGAACTTTTTAAATTGAACTCTGTTGTGTCTATCCCAAAGAAACGTAGAGCATTCTCTTTATATGTCATAATGGCCATGAGGCCAGTGTTTGCCAAACTCTGGAAACAGAAGCTAATTCCAACACATAAAGCTCGCTTAGATAAAATCAAGGAGTCTTATTTATATATGAAAGTATCAACGTTGCAAAAAATGAAGACGTAACAAATACTGAGTTTATTTTGGACACAAGCTTTAGCTGATACAGAGCAGAGAATGTGATGGTATTTATAGCAGAGAATGTGATGGTATTTAATTTTTTGTGTGTGTCCTCCCATTTAGAAGATTATATTCACATCTTTAGCTTTGTTCACTGTGGTTGTTCAGAACTTTTGTTTATATTCTTGCTGTCTGGAATTTTGTTTGCACTACTATTGTCTAATCTCCTAAACACATTGGGCATTATGTTTTTATAATATATATATATCAATTCTAATAAAGGAAACATAACTGTAGCCACAGGTTTGCATCCTACCGCTCTGCTCAGAAGAGTCTAAAGCCTTTCTCCCAACTAAAAAAGAAGAAGAGAAGAAGAAGATATTGGATTTATACCCCGCCCTTCACTAATCAAGGGAGTCTCAGAGTGGTTTACAATCTCCTCTCTCTCCTTCCCCTCCCCACAACAGACACCCTGTGAGGTAGGTGGGGCTGAGAGAGCTCTGAGAGGACTGGCTCTTGAGAGAACAGCTATGAGAGAACTTGTGACTGACCCAAGGTCACTCCAGCAACTGCATGTGGAGGAGCTGGGAGTCAAACCTGGTTCTCCCAGATTAGAGTCCGCACTCCTAACCACTACACCAAACTGAAGGTAGACAAGCCAAGTCCTTTGGAAGAAGGCGTCCAGCTTTGGCAAGCTGAGAGGCAGGACACAAGGCGGCGGAAGCTGCACCGATCCAATCCTTAGTTTTCTTTAAATTCTTGCAGAAGTGTGTCTGCAGAGAGGCAGATGACTTTTAAAAATCACTCCCAGGGAACAAAGGTGTGGTCATTATACAACAAAAGCCTTCTTAAGAAAACACAGCGGTAGTTGGTAATCAAAAGGAACCTAAGAGCCAAAGCTCCAGAAGAGGACTAAATCACACAGCGGTTCCTGTCAACGGTTGTCAGATCAAAGCACGGAAGATTAAAAGCCACGAGAAATGCTTCAAGGGAAAAAATGAAGGCCACCCACCTGTACGCACCTTGATTTCCTGGAACTTAAACTATTCTGATGTAGAAACAAATAACACACACGCAAATCCACCGGCAGCTCATTCAGGAGAGCCCCAGAACTGATGATATTAACTTTGTTATGATCCAAGGAAGTAACTGCCATTAGAAGGGACACTTGCCTTGAAAATGTCATGTTTGCCTTCTCAAATACAAAACCTTTTCTGTGCAAGTGGAAGGGGTTCTGCTCCACACGTCCTCAACAAGGCTGTGACCTGGATAGCCCGGGCTAGCCCAATCACGTCAGATCTTGGAAGCTAAGCAGGGTCGGCCCTAATTAGGACTTGGATGAGAGACCACCAAGGAAGTCTGGGGTTGCTATGCAGAGGCAGGCAATGGCAAGGCACCTCTGAAGTGTCTTGCCTTGAAAACCCACTGGATCATCCACTACTTGACAGCAAGAAAGATAAAACTCAACAAGCACCAAAGGGACTGGAAACAACTGCAGAGCTGGTGGGGGCAGCTTGCACCCCTGTCTGACTACTGGCTACAGCAGTCAAAGAGCTCTTTGCATCAGGTTTGAATCCTTGTACATGTGAGGTGTGCAACCCACTTCTGTCAAGCAATGAATGCTTCTGTACATTTTAAAAGATGCTTTGGACTTGGATGAAGATAGATTCAGGTGGGTAGCCATGTTGGTCTGAAGCAACAGAAAAAAGTTTGAGTCCAGTGACATCAAGAATCACAGAATTGATGGTATATGACACCGAAAAAGATTGCAAATATGAATAGTAATATGTCAAACAAATGTTGGAAATGTAAAAAAGTAGAAGGGTATTTTTATCATATGTGGTGGACTTGTGATAAAGCTGAGATACATAGAGAAATGGAAAAAATTGTAAAATGTACTTTTAAGAAAGAACCAGAAATACTACTGTTGGGACTTAAAATGGAAGAAGTTAATGTGGGGAAAAGGACGCTGATGTGGTATATGATTACAACGGCCAGAATGACATATGCACAGTGTTGGAAACAAGACAGGATCCCAGAAATTGGGGACTGGATAAAGAAACTATTGTTTATGGTTGAAATGGACAAAATGACACGGAAACTTAAGAATTTGGAAGCAGAAGATTTCTATGCAGACTGGGAAGATTTTAAAGACTATTTAGAGAAGTATTGGGATGTAAAGGACAATTTAATTTGCTTTGACAACTATTGAAAAGTGGATGTTATTAGAGAATAGATAACTATAAGAAAACAATAAGCGAAAGTTATGTTACCGGAAGATGATGATTAAAAGATAAGGGAAAATAGAAGAAAATTTAAGTAATGGGCTGGAGGTTTGGAGCACTGTGGGAAGCCAAGGGGGGAGAGGGATAGAAAAAAGGATGTATAACAACTATTAATGTAATTTCTATTTGACTTAATAATATATCCTAATAAATTGTTTTTGAGAAGAAAAAAAGAATCACAGAATTGAGACACCTCTAAGAGAACATTTCAACCTTCCAGGGCACTCAATGGGGGACCTCAAAGTAGTTGTTCTATTGCAAAGGAATTTCTGGAACAGGAGATTGCTGAATTAGACGTTATTACAACACTCAGGATGATGGAACCCCCAGGACTTAACAGAGATAATCAACTTCTTCTCTCACTATACATGCTAAGTCACTCGGTTCTTGCTTATACTCAGAATTAAACTTTATTGGTCTTAAAGATGCCACTGGACTCAAACTTAATTCTCACATCTGTTTGTTATCTCTTTTCTGATCTGTATGCTAATTTGCTGCTATTCACAGGTCTTAACCACTGCTTTAATCCAATCTTAGTTATACTTATTACTCAGTTACTTGTGCATTTTGACTCTAATTAGCCCTTCTTGGCAACTAACCCCCCCACCTACATGTAATGGTTGAGGAAGTCTTGTTTCAATGTATCTGAAGAAGTGTGCATGCACATGAACATTTATACCCAGAATTAAACTTTATTGGTCTTAAAGGTGCCACTGGACTCAGACTTTGTTTTGGACTTGATTCTGCACAGCATTTTACCATGATTGCAAGTGGGACAAACCTGGGAGCCTGGAGTCTCAAGCACAGAAGTTCGGCAGCCCCCCTTCCCCCCCCCCAATTCCTCAGTCCAGGTACTGTTCAAGGTTTATAAAGAGCACCAGGGACAGAAAAGGGAAACGGGGCTCAACTAACATTGGAGGAAGCGATGGCCGTGTTTCTTGCCCCATAACAATTATTTCCCTGTAAGGCACGCCTGTCTTCCATCACGGAACTCAAGGTGGCTTATGCAGGATTTCCAGGAGAAATCCCATCCAGTCATGCGGGGAGGGGCTGTGGCTTCATGGAAGAGCCTCTGCTTGCCATGCAGACGATTCCAGGTTCCGTCTCTGGCATCTCTAGTGGAAAGAAACCAAGCAGTAGGTGATGCGAAAGACCCCTTCCCAAGATCCTGGAGAGCTGCTGCCAGTCTGTGTAGACAGCACTGACCTCGATGGACCAATGGTCTGATTCGGTAAAATGCAGCTTCGTGTGTGTTCACGTGTGTCGTTAACCTGGCCCAGATCTGCTTCACTACATCACATGTTTTCAGACCCCACCCAGCTCCAGCCTATCCACCTCCCACTGCCCAAGGCACTCTGATGCGAGCAGAAACAATGTTCTTGGAGGAGGTGGCCGCAGGCCACTTCAGGTGTGGAATCCCTGCTTGTCCCCCCCCCCCAACCAACGCTGAGTAGCCTGGCTGACCACGCCCCTTAGCTACGTCCAATGGAGTCCTCGTCCCGGGCGGGGTAAAAACCAAATAGAAAGAGTCTTAACTGGGGCCAACTTCCATCACGTGCAGCAGTCCAAGCAGCACAGCTGGCCTCTGAGCTTCTGGAACCACTTTCTTTCAAAGCTTGCTGTTGCGGCGGTCATCAGGGAAGCCAGAGCGGAAGCTCCTATACACTTCACCTCTCCCTGGGCATCCTCCTTGAGTTTTTCAGGGGTGAGATCCTCCCCCATAACCTGCAGGGGAAAGCGAGGGGGACGGGAGAGAGAATATTGAATAGCAAACAGACTTTAGGTTCCGCTCAGGTAGGAGGAGATCCTCCCAAACGCTCACCAAATATTGGCTACCGTCTAAAGAACTTCAAGGCTTAGCTTATTGCATCTACCACAGCTTTGGTCTGTGATTCTTAGACAGCAACCCCCTCACCCCAGAAGTTGCTTTGGTTTTTAAACCTCCAGGGAATTTTAGGAGTAGTCTGAGCTACTGAATGACGAAGAAGAGAAAGAGGAGGAAGAGGAGAAGATTAGATTTATACCCCGGCCTTCACTACCCAAAGGAGTCTCAGAGCGGCTTACAATCTCCTTTCCCTTCCACCCCCCCACAACAGACTCCCTGTGAGGTAGGTGGGGCTGAGAGAGCTCTTTCAAGAACTGCTCTTGAGAGAGCAGCTCTGAAAGAACTTGTGACTGACCCAAGGTCATGCCAGCAGCTGCACATGGAGGAGTGGGGAATCAAACCCGGTTCTCCCAGATTAGAGCCCGTGCACTTAACCACTGCACCAAACTGGCTCTCTGGTCACCAACCAGGCTACTGGCAGGGGCTGAAAGATCTGCAATGCCTGCCCATTTGTTTCCAGGCATGGTTTATTAATTTATCCAGGACATTTTAATGCTGACTTTCCACCTGATCAGAGTCTGCAAGGCGGCAAACATTTGTATAATTAAAATACAGTTAAAAATTTTAAAATAATTCAATTAAAACACGTAAACAAAACAGCACTCAAAGGAGGGCCAGTAATTGTAGGTATGCTAAACAAAACAAAAAGGTCTTCAGCTGCCAGTGAAAGACACCGACAGAAGGAGACAGACGAATCTCTCTTGGGAGGAAGTTCCAAAGTTTTGGTGCTACAACAGAGAAGGCCCTTTCTTGGGTCACCAGTCAGTGCTGGCTCTGACCATTAAAGCCCTGAACAGCTTGGGGACTTGCCTTCCCTTGTAGTATCCCGCCCACTAGCTAGGACCCAGCTCCTGTTGCACCTGCCTGCAGCGCTTTTGCAGTCACGCATCCTTCCCCCTTGGGGCCTGCCTGGCTTCTGCTTTATTGTCTTTCAGTCCCCAGGCTACAACGTTTCTCTTTACCCGGGCTTGTAACAGAATCCTTTTACTGTTAACAGCGAGAAGTCCCTCTATACCGCGTAGTTTGGAAACGCTAGAGGTGGGTCAGGGACTCCATGAGAACTGTTACAAAACGGCCAGTTGCCAACTCTCCAGGGGAGCCCTGAAGATTGCCAGGAAGCCCTGAGGTGGGTTCCTAGTGACACCGGAGGGATGTTAGGAGGCCGTCCCGCCTCACCAGAGCCCAAGACAGGGACAGTGGTGGCAGCAATACCCGGAGGCAGTGGAGAAAAACTGCCCCTTCAGGTGCCAGGTCAGGCAAAGGAGGGGTGGGCAGAGCGGGGCCTGCCAGCTGACGCGGGCCCGTTCCGCAACAAGCTCCACTGAACAATATGGGACTCACTCCTGAGCAGACGGCTCCCCAGTATGATGCAGAGGCCAGAACGGTGGACTACGACTAGGAAGACCCAGGTTCAAACTTCTGCTCATGAACCAGGTGAGCCTTGGACCTGTCGGTTCCGATCTCAGCCTAACCTAGTTCACAAGGTAATTGTGCCCATAAAAACAAAGGAAAGCAGCAACACGTACTCTGCCCAGATCTCCTTGGAGTAGGAGAAAGATTTAAAAGTAAGAGATAGATAGATGATTTTTTACTCCATAAGATTTCTGTACAACCATGAGGATTGGCATTTTGCTTCTCTCCTTCTCCAACTGGGATTCTGAGATTATTCTCAGCACAAACATGTCTTGGCAAACTGTACACAGATTTATTTAATTCCTTCATTTAATTCATTTATGCCCACCGTCCTCCCCAATGGGGATCCAAAGTGTCTTACATCATTCTCCTCTCCTCCATTTTATCTTCCCAACAACCTTGTGAATTCAGTTAGGCTGAGAGAGCGTGACTGGCCCAAGGTCACCCAGCGAGCTTCCTTGGCGCAAGTGGGGATTCAAACCTGGGTTTCTTAGGTACTAGTCCAACACTCTTAACCACTATACCACACTGGCTCTCAGTCTGCTAGTGTTCAAGGCAGAATACTGGAATGCTGATCGATAGCTGCCACATGGCACATATAGACAGAGCTAAGCACATTTAGCATTTCCGAGCTGCATACCAGTTTGGTGTAGTGGTTAAGTGTGCGGACTCTAATCTGGGAGAACCGGGTTTGATTCCCCACTCCTCCACCTGCACCTGCTGATGTGACCCTGGGTCAGTCACAAGCTCCGGCACAGCTGTCCTTGAAAAAGAGCAGTTTGTGTCAGAGTTCTCTCAGCCCCACCCACCTCACAGGGTGTCTGTTGTGGGAAGGGGAAGGGAAAGGAGTTTGTAAGCCACTCTGAGACTCCAAGTGAAGGGCGGAGTATAAATCCAATCTCTTCCTCTTCTTCCTCTTCTTCTTCTTCTTCACAATGTGACTGCAGAATTTAGCGCCCCCCCCCAAATCTCAGTTTTCATGTTGAATTTTAGTGCCCACAAATCTCAGTTTTCATGTTAGCAACTAAAGCTGTGAAAGGCAGGCTGTGAGTATGAACAGGACCTCATTACCAGCAGGGTAGTAGCTTGGTGTTCTGTATTGGTACCAGCTCCTTACCTCTCTCTGCAGCTTGCAAGAGAAGGGGAAAATGGGGATATGTCCAAGCTGCCTTAATCTGAATAATTTATTCAGGGCCTGCAATTAGCATAGACCCACATGGAATCTCCGCTCACCTCAGTCACCAAGAGCAAGACGTCTCTCCGCAGTCCAAAAGATGCAACGTTATCTTCAATTTCCTGCTGCGCTTTTAAGTTGCTCTCTAAAGCGAAGGTGCACTGATGCAGCTGGAGGAGCTGAAGCAAGAGCCTGGCAACGACGGCAACAGCAACAAGGAAAAAGTAAACACACTCAATACATCTAGTGGGACCAAAAGAGCTTTGAGAGTAAAAAACAACAACAAAAGGACTTAACAAATGTAAAGGTTTGGTTTCTCTCTCTCTGTGCACGTGTGCGTGCGTGTGTGTGTTTGGACGGTTTTCACAGAATCTGCTCCTACTGAAGTACGGAGAGTATTTGTAGTCTGCTGTTTATTTACAGTAGATGGAATGAGCAAATTTTATATGGGAGTACAGAAGCAACCCCCGAGTTGGGTGCCCAGGCTGGCCTGATCTCATCTGATCTTGGAAGCTAAGCAGGGTCGGCCCTGGTTAGTATTTGGATGGGAGACCACCAAGGAAATGCAGAGGCAGGCAATGGCAAACCACCTCTGTACGTCTCTTGCCTTGAAAACCCTACGGGGGTCACCATAAGTTGGCTGCGACTTGACGGCGCTTTCCCCCACCACCGCAGCCACCCCAGACAGTCCTAAGCCCCCACCCCCACAAACACCCTTAACAATTCTGGGCACATGGGAATTCCAGACTCTCTCCCCACCCTTGATAGCTTATTGGGCTTCACTCCTTTTGTCCACAAGAATGTCCACAAAATATCGCAGAATACAGGCTCTCAGATTGTGGTCCTCCTACTGCTGCTGCCTGTTCATTAACCAGGAGCAATAATTTAATTAATTATTTCCTTCATTTATACCCTGACTTTGTTCCCAATGGGGCCCAGAACAGCCTACATCATTCTCCCCTCCTCTGTTTTATCATCACAACAACCCTGTGAGGTAGGTTAGGCTGAGAGCGTGTGACTGGCCCAAGGTCACCCAGTGAGCTTCCATGACCCCAGTGGGGATTCAAACCTGGGTCCCCCAGAACTTAGTGCGATGCTCTAACTGCTACACTACAGTAACTACTAAGGTTCTGCCCATCAGGCTTGTAAATAACAGCTTGCCTGGTTGTTGTTTTTTTTGGCAAGTAAGAATTAGCCCCAGGCTCCCCGACAGGGAAACTTAGACAAAACAAGAGCTTCCCCCCCAAACCTCATTTGTCAACAAAGCACAAGTGACAGACACAGGTATGCAGAATCATAGAATCACAGAGTTGGAAGGGACCTCCAGGGTCATCTAGTCCAACCCGCTGCACAATGCAGGAAATTCCCAAATACCTCTCCCCCCCACACACACCCAGTGACCGCTGCTCCATGCCCAGAAGATGTGTGAACAGGCAGCTTAAAACACTGTTGTGGTCTGCTCACTTTTTAAACTCATCTGCTGCACCAGACCCGAGAGAGAGAAAGCAATCTCTTCACTTTCCATGTAGGACTAACACGACTCTGCAAATATCAAAGGGTGTGCTTATAGGGCACCCCCTGTATGCCCTACAACATCAAAGGGTGTGGTTGTATATAGCCAGCTTGCTGAAGCTAAGCGGGTCACCTGAGTGCCTGGACGGGAGACCCGCGTAAGCCACCTTGAGTTCCATAGTGTAAGGAAAGTACAATAAAATGCAATCACAATAATTGTGGTAAGAAGTGCAGAATGTGCCAATCATGAAAAATACTACAAAATTACAAAGAATATTGGTCTTTGATACAGTACCTTGCTCTAACAAAGGAAGCACATGCATACATCCAAATCTCTTCCCGTCCCATGGTGCCCAACGTAACACTTTTCTCTGTGTGCTGGGGCTCCAGTTTTTCCAGGTCAGTGATGTGTCCCTCCACTCTCTGGCTTTCCTCACCAGTCACAAAGCTCCCGTTTGTTTCAGAGGGAAGCGGCAAAGAGAAATCCTTCCTCCAAGTGTGTTTACTGCAACGCTGAAAGATGGCTCTGTTTCTAAGGGGCTCTGATAAAACGGACGATCCATTGCATTGTGGGAGATCATGTCCCGAGGCCAACAAGGGCGGCGGGAAAGGCAAAAGGCTCAAATAAGCCTCAGCCAGCAGCTTCCAATATCCCGAGTGAAAAGGATGTAACGAAACCAGTTGCTGCAAGCACTCGGTCATTTTCTCCGGATGGTCCATGGTGCGGTATATGGTAAACTGCAGGCCCAGTATCGTCGTTACGTGGTCAGTGTTTGTCGCTCCGTTTCTCTGGGAAAAGAAAGTCAACAGAGACCGATACAACCCGTTTTACAAAAGAATTTTGGGGAAAGGTGGGTATGTAGAGTAACAAAGAGAGACATATCTTCCGGGATCAGGTAACTCCTGTTAAAACTATTACAAATAATTGCCATTAGATTGGAGCCTACCAGGTTTTCTGTCGATCCACGAGGGAAGTGGTGGTAAAGGAAAGTGCCGTCAAGCCACAGCTGACATGTCAACCTCATAGGGTTTTCAAGACAAGAGACATTCAGAGGTGGTTTGCCACGGCCTGCCTCTGTGTCGTGACCCTGGTATTCCATGGAGGACTCCCATCCAAATACTAGCCAGGGCCGACCCTGCTTAGCTTCTGAGATCTGACAAAGTTGGCCTAGCCTGGATCAGAGAGTCTGGAACCGAGGTGAACAAAAGGCCACCTGGGATGGGGCTGTAATGAAGAAGTGAATTGGGCAAGAGAGCCCCGTCTTCCGCTTGCATCACCAGGGACTCATTAGCATAATAGGCCACACCCAATGGCAGAAACTCATTAGCATATTGGGCCACACCCCTGACAGCACCACTCATTAGCATATTAGGCCGTACCCACATGTTACCAGAAGTGTGGTCATCCAGCCACACCAACCTGTTGCTTCTTATTCTGTTTACCTTGTTTGTTGTCAAAACCCAGAGCTTTTTTTGTAGCAGGAACTTCTTTGCATGTTAGGCCACACACCCCTAATGTAGCCAATTCTAATGAGTTTCTGCTGTTGGGTGTGGCCTATTATGCTAATGAGCTCCTGCTGGGCGTGGCCAACTCAGGAGCCAGCCGGAACTCCGTTCCTGTGCGTTCCTGCCCAAAAATAGCCCTGTGCATCACCAAACGGCCATGTAAACGACTCCGCCTGGCAGCGGTCCCCTTATCACCACGGTCCCCTTGCCCACTCTCAGCCTGACCTACCTCACAGGGCTGTTGTGAGAATAAAAAGGGGAAGGGAGAACTGCATATACTGGCTGGAATTCCCTGGAGGAAGGTTCCCTGGAGCAGAGGTCCATCAATGGCTATTTGCCACAAGGTATAGATAGGAACTCTCAGTCTGGGGAAAGTGATGCTCTGTATTCTTGGTGCTTGGGGGGGGGGAGGCAACAGTGGGAGGGCTTTTAGTGTCCTGGCCCCACTGCTGGACCTCCTGATGGCACCTGGATATTTTTGGCCACTGTGTGACAGAGTGTTGGACTGGATGGGCCTCTAGCCTGATCCAACCATTGGCTTCTCTTATTTTCAGGAACGAAATGTGCACGCCAGGTAGACAGAATAGGGAAAGGTACCAACCAGCGTCTCTGCGATCTCCAAAGCTTCCTTGTATTGCCCCAGATGAGCTAGACAGCGAGCCTGACTCTCTTGTACGTCTCTTCTCATGGCTACATTGCTGGGAGGCAGCAGATCATGGCAGCTGGAGTATTCACACAGAGCCTTCTGAAATGCGGTTTGCAAATACTGTGAAAAATTGAGCCGACTGGATTTTTATACAGATTACAAAGACACAAAGCAAGAGCAAGAAGATCAATACTGGGTACATTAAAAAAAATAAGGGGCAAGCCTCATGCCCCAAATGCATGTTTTTAGTGTTGCATGGGGGCAAAGGATATCAGAAAGAGAAAAATAAATAAGCTGTTTGTGGCAGGTTTCTTCACCAGCCTGAACGCAGACAAAGAACAAGCCAGACAGTAGTCATAAGATTTTCTAGACAGAAAATATTAATGCACGGGGTGTGTGTGAAAATACCTTAAATTCTTGTTGCTTATATGCCAAATCTCCTCTGAATTTTTTTACATTGATGATTTCAGCATCCTCCTCAAAGTCTGTTTCCTCACAAAACCACTGTAAAGAGGGAAAACAAAGAGGGTTTCGAGTATTATTTACAACCAAGAGATGTATTGCAATGGCTGGAGACACAATTTTAGAGAACTGAGAATGGGTTTGGGAGAGACACCAGTGCCTCTCGCCAGGTCCACACAAGAATCTCTTTGGTTTCAGTGTTATGCACACTTTGCGTGACTGTGTATGATCCAAGAAGGAAGGCTTCTTTTGAAACGCCTTTGACTCCCTGGGAAAAAAACACAACCCTGTCATCTGCTTCCAACCGAGCTGGAACTTGCCATTTGCTCACCAGTTCAGATGGCAGACTGGTTAAGTAAAAGAAACAGAGAGAATGCAAGAATCAACACAGCTGTTGAAAGCAGAATGTTGAATCAGACGGACCTTGGGCGGATCTAGCCAGATAATTCTTGTGTGCTCATAAAATACCAGCATAGTATACCCATTCCCCATTTGTATTTCCTTTAAGAACAGAAACTGGCACAGGAATTTCTTTTTATTAATAATGTAGTACATAAACCTATTAAATAAATATCATAAGTGAGAGGCAGTGTGGTGTAGTGGGTAGAGGGGCAGACTAGGACCCTGGCTGACACAGGTTCAAATTCCCTCTTCTACTACGGAAACTCACTGGGTGACCTTGAGCCCAACACTAACTCTCAGCCCAGCCTACCTCACAGGGTGGTTGTTGTGAGAAAATGGAGGAGGGGAAAACAATGTTCTAAGCTGCATTGAGACCCAACTGGGCAGAAAAGCAGGGTATAAATAAATACATCAAAAATTGTTGTTGTTCAGTCGCACAGTTGAGTCTGACTCTTCGCGACCCCATGAACCAGATCACGCCAGATGTGTAATGCAGACTGTAAACTACAGTTCATACCAGCTGTTCAGAAACTAACTTTGCCAGGCAACCATTTTTGAAGTAGATTACACTGAGAGTGACTACCTTGTAAGAACCACAGCACCTAGGGTTGCCAACCTCCAGGTAGGGCCTGGAGTTCTCTAGGAATTATGACTCATCGCAGACAACAGCTATCAGTTCCTTGGGAGGAAATGGCAGCTTTAGTGGTTGAAGTAAGGCATTATACACCAGTTTGGTGCAGTGGTCAAGAGCGGCAGACTCTAATCTGGACAACCGGGTTTGATTCCCTACTCCTCCACATGCAGCCAGCTGGGTGACCTTGGGTCTGTCACAGTTCTCCCAGAGCTGTTATCTCAAGAGCCGTTCTCGAAAGAGCTCTCTCAGCCCCACCTACCTCACAGGGTGTCTGTTGTGGGGAGGGGAAGGGAAAGGAGATTGTAAACTGCTCTGAGAGTCCGAGTGAAGGGCAGGGTATAAATCCAATCTCTTCTTCTTCTTCTTCTTAAGCCATGCAGGCTTTCCAGTTTCCCTCAGCATGAACTTGCCTGAGCAGTGTTGAGCTACCCAGTTTATCCTACCTCAAAGGGCTGTTGTGAAGATGAAATGGAGCGGGGGCACCACAGGAACTCCACTATAACGGGAGGGAGAGCGAGAATCACTCCCAAGTACAATTTGACCTCTGAAGAGGCAAAAAAATCAACGAAGGAGCCCTAGGGCTGCCAGCTCCAGGTTGAGAAATGCCTGGAGATTTTGGGGGTGGGGCCTGAGGAGGGCGGGGTTTAGGGAAGAGAGAGACATTCAATGGGTATAATGCCATAGAGTGCACCTTCCAAAGAGGCTATTTCCCCCGGTGAACCGATCTCTGTCACCTGGAGATCAGTTGTAATAGCGGGAGCTCTCCAGCCGCCACCAGGAGACTGGCAACCCTAGGGAGCGCCTGCTCCCCCTCCCCTCCTTGCCCCCTGCTCCTCTCACCTGAGGCTCGCAGCAACGGGCACTGTAGGCAGGGGGAAGCGAGGAGGGGTCCTTCTGCCCCCGGCCGCCCCCCTCAAACACCGACTCCTCAAACTCAAACCCCAAAGGCGGCTCCATCCGTCTCTCGCAGGCGAAAGGGAGGAGAGACAAGAGGCGCCGGAGGCTCTGCTGCTAGAGCGGCCCCTTCTGACTGGCTCACAGAAGACAAGACGGCCGCAGGGCCAGAACGGCCCACTGCACCCCCGCTGTTAGAAACGAATAGAAAAGACCGCACGGTCCATACGCGTAACAGGGACGGAGGCCACTTCCGGTAAAGAACTGGAAGGCCGTCTGCAGCCACCCGCCGCTCTACCCATTGACTTATCTATGGTGGAGTTCCTCTCTGTCTACAGTCGCGCTCGCACGAATTATTTATATCATACATAGATCATTATATTTTACTATAAGGATTTCCTCCCATTATATAAAATTGCCTATAAATAAATATGGATACTATATAATATAATACACATTTGAAGTAGAAATGATCGAGATGGTAGATACGGGAGTCTGCAAATCGACTGCAGGTTTTCTGCTGTCAAGCGGTATGCTGGAGCCTGAACTTCCGGCCCGAACATGAGATGGTTAGACAGCGTCATCGATGCAACGACGAACATTAAATTGAGCCAACTTCAGAGGACGGCGAAAGACCGGAAGGCCTGGCGTGATCTGGTCCATGGGGTCGCGAAGAGTCGGACTCGACTGTGCGACTGAACAACAACAAACCGATGCAACGTAGAGAAGGCTTTCACCATAGAGAGGTCCAAGGGGTAGAGCGGCACCCGTAGGGGATCCACGCAGTTCGGCCATGGCGGCTTTCCGTTTTCACCGGAAGTTTGGGCTGCGAGGCGAGCCCGTCTTTTCCTGTCTCCATGGCAACCCAAGTCACACTCACGGAGCCGGTTTCTCTTGGCAAAGAAAGCCAGCCTGTCCAGGACAGGGGCAGCTTTTTCAAATGTGTGGGCTGAACTGGGGGTGGCTGTAGGAAGGGGGAGCCAGCAGGTGAGAAAGTCCCTATGTGGGTTTGGGCGGGTCTGTACCTCAGGGTTGTAGCCGGTTGCCAGCCTCCAGCTGGGGCCAGGAGTTTCCCCAGAATTACAACTGAACTCCAGACTTCAGAGATCAGTTCCCCCTGGAGCAGATGGGAGCTTGGGAGGGTAGGCTCCACAGCATCACATCCCCACTGACCTCCCGCCTGATCCCAGACTCCACCCTCCCCAGGTTTAACCCCCAAATCTCCAGGAATTTCCCTACCTGGGGTTGGCAACCCTGGCGTGGACATGAAGTGGCTGGGATATCACAATTGAGGGAATCCATAGTCAGTGTAAATGAAAGAGAATGCTTCAAAAACTCCGTTGCTTACCTATGGCACTTAACACATGTAACAAATATATGCAGGGCTTTTTTTGTAGAAAAAGCCTAGCAGGAACTCATTAGCATATTAGGCCACACCCGTGACAGAACAGCTCATTAGCATATTAGGCCACACCCCCATGTTACCAGAAGTGTGGTTATCCAGCCACACCCACCTTTTGCTTGTTATTCTGTTTGCCTTGTCTGTTGTCAAAACCCAGGGCTTTTCTTGTAGCAGGAACTCCTTTGCATGTCAGGCCACACACCCCTAATGTAGCCAATCCTAATGAGTTCCTGCTGTTGGGTGTGGCCTATTATGCTAATGAGTTCCTGCTGGGCGTGGCCAACTTGGGAGCCAGCCGGAACTCCGTTCCTGTGCATTCCTGCCCAAAAATATCCCTGAATATATGGATTGATAGGACTATGTAGACTCCAAATGTTATGGAATGAGGCATGTTGGACGACTGGACTCCCCCAGTACTTATAAACAGAATGCACAGCTAGCGTACAGGATTCACTGCCATAAAATGCAACAATGCTTTCAAAGGCTGACCAACAGCAGTTTTGCTAGGATGGCTAAATGAAACCTCCATGGTCAGCAGCGATGTACCTCTGAATGCCTGGTTGCAGTGGGAGTCGGCAGCAGCAGGGGAAGCCTGCATGTGTTGCCCATAGACTTTCTAAAGGTGTGTGGCTGGGGCTTCCACAAAAGGGTGTTGAACTACATGGACATTCTGGGCTGATCCTGCAGGGCTCTTATGTCTGGGATGGTTTTGTTCACATTGTTAAAAATAGTGTCACCATGAGCCGCACAAGTACCTAGCTGTTTATTTGAATAACCTTCCTGACATGGATGCATCAAATGATTTGTACATTTAGAAGGCAGTTTTGGTTTTAGGACTGTACCTAACACTTTTGCTTCCTTCAAGAACAGAGGGGGGTGGGAACAACTTCAAAATGTGGTCAGGGCGGTATTTTGCCCTGTGGGAAACCGGATGTCCCCCAAACTGGGGGGAGAGCTTCCACACGACATTGTGCTCTTTCAGAACCGAAATACAACTCATGGAGCTACCATAATTAAGCTGGGGCCCAAAAAAAAAAGCAGATTTAGTCCAGCTCAAAAGGAAACTGTGGGGTGGTTGCAGAGGGAGGAGGAGGAGGCTGGATTTATACCCCACCCTTCACTCAGTCTCAGAGCGGCTTACAAAACACCTCTGACAGGACTACGGTTTGCCCAAGATCATCCAGCAGCTGCGAGTGGAGGAGTGGGGAATCAAACCCGGTTCTCCCAGATTAGAGTCCACGCACTTAACCACTACACCAAACTGTGGCGGGGAAAGAACTTGCTCCACCGTTTCCCCTTTAGTGGATTTTTTCCCCTTAGCTGAAAGGGGAGGCTGCTGGGCAGTGGAGGTGGGGGGGTGGACTGTCTGTGCTTCTTCACCAGTGGGATAGAGGGATGGGTGTGGGAGGGATGTTGGACTAGATAGACCACTAGTCTGATCCAGCAGGTTCTCCTTATGTTATGAACTTGGCATCTGCACACAACAATGCTGTGATCTGCACACTCTGCCTTCTGAAGAGCCCTCAAGTTCCAAATAGCACTGGAGTGTAAATCTGGCAGGGGGAAATGCTAGTTTTTTCTGGATTGAATCCAGCATTCCACATGACAGGAAGTATCACACGGGACACAGGAATGTGTCCAGAGTGGCCATGAGTGCATTTTTTTAAAAAAAATTGAGACTTGTATGTAGGTGATCCTTAAAATGGAACTCATGGAGCAGGGCTGGGACTGCCTGAACCCTAGACAGGTGTTGCAAAGTCAGCAGAGGGCTAGAGGGACCAAAGGTCTGAATCGGTGTGAGGCAGTTGCTTGTCTGTGTTCCACCACCACTGCACACTGAGAACTCCAGCCACCATCCTCAATATAGCAAGATGTTATCCTACTTGTGCTGACATAAACATTGCTATAAAATCCCTTACAGCACTGCAAGGAATTTCTGGGTGCAAAAAAGCATATATGTACAGTGCAGTAGCTAGCTTTGAAATAATGTACAGGCTGCATCTCATCAGCTACCCACCCCCACATGGAAGCAGCCGCTGTATTTCCAGAAAACTGGTGTTTTCAGAGAGGATGTGTATCCTTTCATGAACAGACTTAAATAATCACCTCTTTCCCGAGATGGTAACTGATTAATAGCTTGTGTCTTTTCTGCTTTATTCCTCTTTAGTTCTGTCCTTTGGTGCATGGTGAAAACATCCACAACAGAATCTGGCCCCTCCCACAGACAGGAAGCTTGTCCAAGTTCACATCCAGCTACAGGTCAGTTAACTGCCAACTAAGTTTTGTGTAAGCCATAGCAAGATTTAGATAGAGCTATATGCACAGAGAACTTAAAAGAAGCAGGTCATATTTAAGAACAGCCCTACTGTTTTTTACACTAAGATCCCACCCTGCTTCATACAATGACTACTGATATGCCACCCACAAGCAAGATATTAATGCAATGCTCCCCCACCACTTTTACTGCCCAGGAGCATACCTATATTTAAAGGGTCAAACCTCAGATCCTTAACACACCTTCGGTCTAATTCATTCTCCCACACAGCAAGGAGGACAAATTTAAAACTGCAGAAGTGAATCTTCACCTGTATGAACTACAATTTCTAATTACATCTCCCCCCCATGGGCTTTTGATTTAGTGGATTCTTTCAAAATGGGTCATTTAACATTACTGGTCTAAATTCACCTAATAAAAGGAAATGATCAGTTCTGCTTAAACATGAGATCAATGTAACTTTTAAAAACAGAAGATACACATAAAACAGGAAGCAGAGGAAGCATTGCAAACTGAGCCCTACATATTTTGCATCACATTAAAAAAAACCGGGGGCAGCTGTTCTAATCCATAATAATGAGACACAACTGATAAAGAATGCAGATATTTAATCGTGAAAGGGAGAACAAAATGTACATACATTGATCTGTATATATGGACTGCATATCAAAACCATGCATATTTTTACAGGATCCTGATGCAGGAAATAGTGATTTTTAAAAAATATTTTAAACTTCAAATCCCTCTCCCTAAATTTTTTTCCACTTCTTTCAGAGCATTTTGTTATTCAGTGCTTGAAGACTTTTAAATCTTCAAATTAGAGACTACATTTTTCATTCTGTGACTAAGTTCTTATTCAAGTATACCATATTTTTTCTTGTCCTCCAATGACTACTGCAAGTATTTAAGATGCAGGAGTTGGTTGCTATCATATCAGCATGTGCAAGAAGTAGTGCTGGTATCAATGAAGGGGTTTTCCTGTCATAATGCCAGATATGTACGTATCAGTGTTCCCTCTGAGTTAGTGTGAGCTAGCTCAGTTTTTTAGCCTCTGGCTCACACATTTTTGTCTTAGCTCAGGAAGGATGGCTCCAGAGCAAACTGATTTATGCCGTAGCCAAATTGCTACCAAATCTGCAGTAAGATGTGCCTGCGCAATGGGCCATAGTCTTCTCCTCTCCAGGCTAGAGGAAATGGCTGCTTTGAAGGGGGGATTCTATGGCATTCTACCTCACTGAGGTCCCTCCCCTCCCCTCCCCAAACCCTGCCCTCTCCAGGTTTCAGTGCTAAATTTCCCAATTTCCCAACTTGGATTTGGCATCCTTAGCAAACAGTGTTAACGCTATGCGAATGATATGGACATCCCATTAATTCTCACCAAACCATCTAAACCAAAGAAGGAAGTTCTGAATGTCATTACAGAGCAGCATCTGGCTATAATGTAAATGTTAATAAATCACAGTGGTTTGGCCTTCCTCTGACTCTTTATTCAAAAAGGAGCTCTGC